GGGGGGGGGGGGGGGGGCACCACCCTACCACACACACATCCACGTAACCCCCAGAGTCCCTGCATATCAGTATCGAGTGCCGAGTACAGCAGCAGGGGTCTCTGTTTAAGGCCGCTCAATTTAGGCCGGTTGGCCTCTGTTAAGGCCGGTAAAATCGCATGGCACAGACTGAATATTCAAGTTGTCTCACACTCTGAATAGTGCCGGGTGCCCGATGTATGACCGGGGTTTGACCTTGGACCTCATAGCGGCCATAAACAGGGACCTCTGGTGTACCCCAAACATGTGCAATACCCAACGGATCCGTTGTTGGCAGAGGTAGTAAGTGGTATACAGAGGTGCCCGGCTGGCAGGCGGCTAGAAGTACGAGTGACGTGGCTGGTGTGGCGCCGGTGTGTTCCTGGGACTCGTTGTTCAACCCCCCCCTCCCAAAAAAAAACAGCGGTGATGGTTTTCAGCGGTGCGTTTGGATAGATATAGAAAGGAAAAAAAATAAGTGGGTGGCGGGAATTGAACCAGGGTATATCGCGCGGTGCCCCAAGGAAGGCACTTATTATAGTGTGCCTTCGTCGACGCCCATGTGAACAAAGAATGAATCGGTTGGGGAGAATGTACGCCTCTCCACAATGGTGTCTAGTGTATTATCTAGTAGGTTTGATATTGTATGTTGTGGTTCGTTTGTTTGGATGTTGATGCTCACGAAAAAAAAAAAAGTGTTGTCGCTCCGTTTTGGACTTGTGTATCCAGTGGTCCTTTCCTCTGCTGCAGCAGAAGCCAGCCGTAGACAGCCTCCCACCTGACGTGAGACATTTTCGGGTGCTTTACCGCGATCTTTATTCCTTCGGCATCAAAAGCACGGGTGGTTTCCAGCCGATACATCAGCAAGTCGTCTTGCCCGAGTGGTTAAGGGGATAGATTAGAAACCTATTGTGATTTCACGCGCAGGTTCGAGTCCTGCAGACGACGATGACATCTTCTTGGAGGTGTCTTTTTTGCTTTCTTTTTTCATTTCCTGGGGATCATTGCCTCTCTTGTGTGTGTGTTCGTCGTCCCATCTATTCTGGCGTCGGTTTACAGGCCCTTTCGATGTATACATATACCTCACGTGTCAGCCGGGATCACACAAGAGATTCCGATTACAGCGAAAAGGCCGAAATATTTTCCCCGCGGTAATAATACCTCCTGCGACTCTTTTGTATTCCCTACCGCTACACTCCGGGCGAAACGCAGCGTATGATATCGGTTACTGCTGCCAACACAAAGCCGTAGCACGTCGCCGTTAGTTTAGATTACAAGGCATGGCGTCTTATTCGTTGAAGCTTTCAACAGGACCGACCATACGGACTGAAAGCGGATCAGTATGTAGAAACGTTGTAGGGAAGTTGCTGCGCCGAGAAGAGTTGATACCCTTAGGTCCATGAGGAGCTGCTCCGAAAACGACAACAGACCGTCAAACCAAGTCCACAAATACGAAGACAAAAAAAAACAAAATTTCCGACTTGCCGTCCCTCCCTGTTGTCTGTCGCGCTTCCGCGGGAATTAGCCTGCCCGAACGCCTTTCTGTACGAGAACCCCGTCTGCGTCAACAACGGCACTCTCCACATCGGCAACAGGACTGCGGGAGAAATGAGCTGCTCCTTCTGCGACTGCCCGGAGGGGTGGGAAGGGGTCGACTGCGGGCGGTGCTCCAGCGTTTCCGTCTGTCCGGACAAGACCATCAACGGAACTGTGAGATTTTTTTATTTTTTTATTGTCTATCGGTAAGAAGCACATGGGGTGCGAACCAACTCCCTTTTTTTTTGCTAGACGAACCAACACGAGCGTCGTACGTGCTTGCCGTTTGCGCTATCCGCTTAGGTAAAGAAGCTGCAAATGCCTCTCTGTTTTGTTACTAATAGACGAAGCGCCATACGTGTTTGCCGTTTACCTGAGACAGGCGCTTGGCGCTGATGATGCTGGTGGTCGATGTACCTGGACATACCTCCTCCAAAACTCTGCGGCTTTTTCCATGAAATTTCTTCGTATCCCTCAACCCTTGAGGCCTTTTTCTTTCTTGCTGTAAAAGGTGGAGTTGGGTTAGCGAAATCGTTTATTCACCTTGAGACGTCGGAGGTGTCTCTACTTGACGGAAAGGAAACCATACTCATTTTTTTCAATATTTTCGTTGTCAACTATTAATAGTCACGACGCAAGCAAGAACCAACACGTACATTCCATACGCCCATTATCCCATCCCCCCACCCCCCTGTTGAATGCTCCGTCCTCTCGAGGACGCGTGGTCAATGGTCAAACCGCTTAGGCATGCAAAACTTGAGCACGCTTCCCTTCCCCCCCCTCCCCCTGTTCAATGGGCGTCACCCCCGAAGCTTGTGTCGGCGACCAACTGCAGCTCCTCCTCTCTCATCCCTACGGCCGAGGAGTCTCAACAAGAGAACGGAAAGGTTTTATCTTGTTCGTTGGGTGGCGGCGGCGACGCCTTCACTGCTGCCCTGCGCGAGTTGCAGCCGGACACGTGGGTGGAGTTCACGATCAAGGGATCCGGGACGGCTGAGTCTCTCGCCGTCATGACCTTCACAGGTGTGACGATTGTAGGCAGCGCCGGGTACCGCGTGACAGAGTGGCGTGTTGTTCTTGGTGGTGGTGGTGGTGGCGGCGGTGTTCCACAGGTTATCCGACAAGGTAGAGATAGACCTGACCAAGTGTGCATGAAGCACTCGACATGACGTCACCCACGCATCAGGGAGGAAACGAAGAAATGGAACAGACCCTCCCTCGAAGTGCTGTATCATGCAGGCACGCGTTGTGCCGGTTCAAAGGGTATCAGAAGCGTGATGCTGCTCTTTCGTTTCGTGTGTGAACCATTCAGCACGTTTTTTTCTTGTTGCCTGTCGTAGGGATGAGTGCAGAAATCGTAACGTTTCTCTAACTAGGTATAAATTAAATTTACCAACCAACCTTGCTGAGACCAATCGAAGAGAACATTATCAACATCGCATGAACTACCCCCCCCCCCCCCCCCCCCCCCCCCCTTTTTTGGGGGGGGGCCCCCCCCCCCCCCCCCCCCCCCTCCTGGACAAACTCCGAAAAAATTGCCCTGCGCTTGACGTCCACGTTTGATATCTCGGAAAGAGGGTTCGATGGCTCTCAACTGTGCGGGGATGGAATCTTGTCGCTCGATAGCCGTCCGTGTTCATGCTTTCTCGCGCTGCTGCTGCTGCTGCTGCTGCTGCTGCCCCCGCTGCGTTGTTTTCTTCGCCAGGTGATTTTTTTCCACAAGGCTACCAAGACACTGCTGGTGACGGACTGTGTGATCTGCATCCCGAGAGATCCCCCAGCAATCATCGGGGTCGAGGGTCTTCTGCAGGCCGCGGCCGACGAGGGAGAAGAGCCCAGACCAGATTCTCCGGAGAACCGAAGACAGGTAGGTGTGTTTCGCCATATAATTGATAAATTTATGATGTGAGGTTTAAGGGTTTTCGTTGGCTTACGTCGTGAGTTTGAACGTGATCGTTGTCGTTAATCACACGTCGAAATCCTTTTCTGACAGCTACCCAGGACCGCACAACACCGTGTTTCTTGAAGGTGGTACACGAATTTCGCGCATACGCCCCGCGGGACCCCCAAGCTCCTCGGAGGACGCGCCTGAAGTTGCGGGTTTCGGGCACAATACGCCCACAATCACAATGATCGCCACCTTTGAACCGTCCCGTCAACGCCTATTTTACCACATTTTTGTGTCGTCGTTCTACATGGTTTCTACCGCTTTTCCGTTTACGGCTTTTAACCGTTGGGGGGGGGGCATTTTTGACCCCTGGTATGCTACGCTTGGTTGTCATGCTCAGGGGTGGGCGAAGATGTGCCTCCAGGTGCTATTTTTAGGCCCGGCGCTGCCCTCGACCTTCGGCGTGGTCTCCGAGAAGCTCGTCGTGTCGCCGGTTCTCCGAACGCTCACGCTCAAGGTGAGGTTGGTGACGGCGCGTTTGTACCCAGGGAGGGTAGCGGGGGGGTGCTGTTGTCCGCCAGAGAGGTGGTGTCCTCACCGCACCGCATCTCTCTATCAACACTCGTGCGCGGGGTGAGTGAGGATCGTGAGAAACGGGTTTTTGGGTGGGTCGCGGGACGGATTGTGCTATATGGCAGGCTTGAGAGGGCAAATAAGGGTGATCCCGCGCCGTGCCAACTCACCACCTCGGCGCGGTTGTTGCGCTCGCGCAAATCAAAACTTAGTTGATTTCCTTTTATCTCGTTTCCCTGGGATCAAACCAAATTGCC